TTCCTCGTCCCTCCCCCTTCTTTCTCCAAGAACTCTTCATCATAGTTACTTTTTCCTCTTTTTCCTAAAGCTTTGTATCATTTTCTCTCTCCGATACACTCAGAATGTTTGGTGTTTCCCCCTCTCTTTGAACCTTAGAAGAGAGGGGTGTTAGAATAGCTCAGACCCAGTTCTTTAACTATTAGGAAATGTAGTTATTATTTCTGTAAATAAACCTTTTGTGATTTTTAAAGATTGTATTCTGCATCTTTGCCTGCCTAAGCTCTTAATTCTTTACAGCCACATCACACAGCGCCTCACACTCTGCTTGCTTGTGAGCTGGTTGCTCAACTTTTAGTTTGTATTTTGGATGCTCAGCTTTTTGGGGGGAGTTTTCACTAACAAAATCCTAACACCAGCTTGTCAATATCTCCCTTAAATTGTGGTGCCCAGAATTGGACACAGTATTCTAGGAGAGCGCTGACGAAAGCAGAGGGGCACAGTTATTTCCCTTGATCTAGTGATCTAGACCAGTGGTGCTCAACCTGTGGGTCACCAGATGTTTTGGCCTTCAACTCCCAGAAATCCTAACAGCTGGTAAACTGGCTGGGATTTCTGAGAGTTCTAGGCCAAAACACCTGGGGACCCACAGATTGAGAACCATTGATCTAGACACGATAATCCTTTGGATCCAGTCCAAAGGCTCATTGGCTCTTTTAGATGCTGCATCACATTGTTGGCTCATGTTGTCTACTAAGACTCTAAGATCTTTTTCACATGGAGTGTTGTTGAGCCAGGTGTCACCCATCATGCATTTCAATTTTTCTGCCTAAGTGTAGCATTTTATATTTCTCGTTGTTAAAATTCATTTTGTTAGTTTTGGCCCAGCTATCTAATCCGTTAAGATCATTTTGAATTCTGATCCTGTCTTCTGGAGTATTAGCTCTCCCTCCCAATTAGGTGTCATCTGCAAACTTGAGAAGCCCACCCTTCTAAACCTTCAAGTCATTTCTGCTGCCCTGGAGTCTAGGACTCGGATCAGTGGGTTCAAATTACAGGAAAGGAGATTCCACCTGAACATTAGGAAAAACTTTCTGTTCGTAAGAGCTGTTCAGCAGTGGAACTTCCTGCCTTGGAGTATGGTGGAATCTCCTTCCTTGGAGGCTTTCAGAAGCCGGATGGTCATTTGTCAGGGGTACTTTGGTTGTGCTTTTCCTGCATGACGGGGTTGGACTGGATTACCTGTAAGGTCTCTTCCAGCTCTATTCTTTTATCTCTTTTCTTCTGTCAGCTTTATTGGCATTGTCACAGGCAATAGTGAAACCATTTCAACCACTTACTATTGTGAATGACAGGCTTCTCACTTTCAACATAGTCTTTCTACTAGTACTAGTACAAGTATAAAGTGAACTGGCTGCGCTTAGATGTGATTAACCAATTGTCATTTTCCATCATAATAAATGTGTCTATGACCAGATATCTCCTTGCCTAATTTCATACACTCATACAGTTGGAAGAGACCATGAATGTCATATCGTCAAATCAAAGCAGATGGCCATCCAGTCTCTTTCCAAAGAAGGTGATACCACACTCCAAAGGCAGTATATTCCATTGTCGAACAATTCTCATTATCTAGTTTTCTGCAGTTTGAATCTGTCGTCCTGTGTCTTAGTCTTTAGAGCAGTAGAAACAAGCAATATGACATCCTTTAAAATACTTAAATATTCTATCATGTCTCCTCTTAACCGTCTCTTCTTCAAACATACTCTAAAGCGCTCTTCATAACTCTTGGTTTCTGATCTTTCTTGTCACATGAAAATGACAGTCCACAGAGCTTACTAGTAGGTCTTATTAGGACCTAGCTTTGGTTTGTTCGTCTTCATCCAGACCACTGCAGCATCCTGCCATTGCCCCAGCATCTGCACAGCCGTAGTTGACTCCAGTCATGTTACTTTCTGCATAAACTATGCTGTTAAATGTATGTAATATAGCAAATGAGCCTAAATGTGCACACTAATATCTACAATGCATTTAACACTCCTTTTGACATACAAATGTCACTAAAGTTTATTTTCCAGTCTTTCCCAAAATCCTGTTTTTCCTGCTCTGAATAACTGAAAAAACACACCCAACAAGTCTCTTGATGTATGTTCAAGAACATTGTCAGACTGATACTGAAAGGAAAAGATACTTGTATTGTGCAGAGTTGGAATGAGAATTGTGAGGCCTTCTAAAGGTTGTTGGACTGTTAACTCCCAACCCTTTTCACCATTGGTCATACTGACCAGGACTGCTGGCATTTGCAGTTCAACAGCATCTGGGAGATTCCATGGTTCCAGTTCCTGATATAAAGATACTTTCAACAGTTATCTACCTGATGATTCCCGAAACAGTTGTGCTTAAGCTGTTACATTCATTCACATTAAAAAATCTCCTACGCCAGGATATTCACACTGCCTTCAGACATACTAGAACACTTTCATTCCAGTGAGTCAGCAGCACCCACCCAGCCCAGTTTCTCTCAATTCTGTTTGATCTCCAGATATACGTATTTTGGAGTTGAGGTACAGTTTACATTAACTATTCACAAAATTCAAAAAGTCCCAAAGACCATATCTTTTAACCTACCACCCAAACAAAAGAATCTATCTACAAGCTCCATCCATTCTAAGGGCCCTACCAGTCAGGCCCTATATCCCAAGATCTGATCCCAGGTTTTCTGTTTATCCCAGATTATCTGGCAGTGCGGACAAATATAATCCAGTTTGAATAAGAAAATCTGGGGTCAGAGCCAGGGAAACCTGTTTTCTTCAGAAAACAATCTTTTTGGTAAAGAAAATATATTTGTTAAATAGCAATTATTTTGTAATAGCAATGTATATGGCTCGTTTCATTGAATTTGATTTTACTGCTCTGTAATACTGTATTTTAAAAGGCTGCCTCTAAATATTACAATAACAAAACTGACAAACAAATAAATACATTTTAATGCAAAAATGATAAAATGCTTGATTTGTCCACTAGTGTGAAGAGATAATGTTGATTATGACCTGAGTTTGGTTCTCTGATCCTGCTCTAGATACTGTACACACTTGTTGCGATCTCATTTCATTCTGATGATTGTCTGAATGTAACAATAACCCCCTTTATTACCTATAGTTGCATTGAAGTTAACAAGTGGAAGTGACTTTTATTTAGGTATTTGTTTGAGATTACACTCAGTTGACATAATGAAAGATAACTGCAAAGATGTACTGTGGGGTACTCAGTTTGCATGGTAAATTTAGAAAGAAAGTCTTTAACTAATGTGAACTAATACTGTATGATGTGATGTCTTAGTTTAGTGGCCAGTATACATAGCAGAAATATGTGTTTGTAAAGTGAAATAGTTGGGAAATAGTTGGCTCAATATGAGCCTAAGGTGCTAAATAATGCAGCGTCTCAACACAAGGTTGGACTGGATGGCCTGTATGGTGTCATCCAATTCTGTGATTCTTTGAAATAGAGAGTACATATTGCATTAGAGAACTGTCTCCTCTCTTTTTCCTTTTACCTATAAAATGTCTTGCTGGATTTGGTACCCGATACCGACTCTAAAACACAATGGCCTTTAAATGGTCTGTGCCAGATGTAGAAATGTGTAGCTTTTAATTTAAGAGATTAATCTTTTCTTTCCTGCAGTAATGATATGCAAGAGTTAGTTATGGATGATTTAGATTTATTTATGACTGCTTAACAGTACTAAAGTATTATACCTTTAGCCTCTGAGACAATACATTTTTTTTGTATTTTCCGATTTGTGCAGTTCTCACAGAAGTCTTGGGTTTGAGTCCAATTTTTTCAGTCTGAATTTGTATTCCACTTGGATAGCTGGAATTAGGAGAATTCTTTTTCTTACGAACCACATTTTATTTTCATCATAGACATTCTCTTTTGGTGGGTAGATCTCAGAGCAGATCTGATTGATGATCTCAGTCGCTCAAATGAATACTCTAGGAAGAATCCTTTTTTCTTGATTCATGTACTATAAACTTACAATATATAATAAACTATACTATAAAACGAACTTCATGTTGTCACTCAGAAGATCATTTTGCTGTTTATTGCTGGCTGGTATGTCATGTAGTTCATAAGTTCCTCATCCTCTCAGAGAATTATGATTACATGAAAAAAATTACAATGAAATCTATGTGGTTGAAAATGCTGTAATAACAAAGTAATATGGGAACGAATCTTTATATTCTGTTAATGCCTTCCAGTATATATTTTAGAAGAAGAATCTGGTGAAACCATCTCTGAATATTCCTTGCCTAAGAAAGCCCTACAAAATTCATGTGTTTGCCATAAGTCAGCAGGTGACATGAAGGCACATGTATACAGTTCCTAGTTCGTTATGTAGACCCTTTACTGTTCACACCAGAAGTGACTTGCAGTTTCTCAATGTTGCTCTTGACACAGAAAAAAAAACTGTTCAGTGTTCCATTGCTTCATTTTTATGCAATTTTAATGGAGTTCTTCCAGATATTTTCATAATTACCTGGTGGAAAACAGTGTATAAGAGTGCAATCTGAAATTTTTACTGTATTTAGAGGCGATACTTTTAGAACCAGGTACAGATAAATTTGTGAAGATGACTTTTAAAAAGAGCATGTGCTGTGCGACTCTTGCTCTCTGTGTTTAGATGGTCAAAACCCTTATGTATGCAATAATTCACTGGAAACCTCTTCTGACACTTTGCCTTGGTAGTGAGGGTCAAATAGTAAAGATCTAATTCAGTATGTCTAGTAAAATACTTAGATCAAGCCTTGTTAAAACTAAATTAATAGTGATTTGTACAAATAAGTTAAGCTGATTTTAATTAACTGATGAAAAGTTGTGTTGAAATTGTGGATCAGGTTACTAACACACTATTCCACGTAATATTCTTTCCCATGTGGATCGCATATTAAACTATAGCTTATATATTCTTCTTTTCTGTCCTGAATTTATTTTTGCTAACTACTTTGTTTTTGATGTTTTAGGAGACAAAGATGGCAGCAAAGTGACCACAGTAGTAGCTACTCCTGGACAGGGTCCGGACAGGCCTCAAGAAGTTAGTTACACAGACACCAAAGTGATTGGAAATGGATCTTTTGGTGTTGTGTATCAAGCCAAACTCTGTGATTCGGGAGAGTTGGTTGCTATTAAGAAAGTTCTACAAGACAAGAGATTTAAGGTGAGAAAAGCAAGTATGTTGTTAAATTCGTCTGGCTCATTTTTTTTAAAGAAACCTTTATTTTGCATTGGTAGTCTAGTACAACAACTGTAATTTTATATCAGATAGTCAGGACCAAAGTCTGACTTTAGATTGTAAACTTTTCCTGTAACACAGTATTTGCCAATTATGATAATTTATTAACTATAATATAATAATAATTATTATTTGTATTCCGGTCTGTCATTCAGTGCTGTTATACAATTAACAAGGACAGACAATTCATAAACAAAGGTAAAGGCTTTCCCCATCTTTTCCCATTTCCGGCATCTGGGGGCTGTGTTCGACTCCAGCCATTGGGGCGGGGGAGGGGGGTGCTGTTACTACACCTTCCATGCCGAGGATCTTTGTCATCCGTAGACGTCCTCCCAATCGAATCTCCAACATTCTAATTTGTTTTTCATTGTTGGAGAGAAAATGAAAGGCTCTAAGGAAGGGATTTTACATCTCTTATTTTGTAATGATCAGATCACATCCTAGAAAGTCTGTACTTTATAACTATTTCTTTCTCCAAGGGTGATAACCTTTTTACAGTAGTTTGCCCCAGAAGGTAATGGATTTTAGTTGCTTCTGAGGATTTTCCCAACTACTCTGGTTGGTGATGCTATCAAAGCCCTGATTACTCAGTTTTACAGAGAAATGCTATGAGCAATTAACAGGATTGCACCTAAGTGTCACCTTCTGCTTTTTAGAGCTCATTCAGCAGTCTCTTATATATCATACCTTATGCAGCAATGGGAAGTAGAGATGGCTGGAGCACGGATGGAAGAAACTCATCTTGAATTTCTTCAAATATCATAAAAGTACATTATTAATTATATTCTGTGGCAATGATGGATGTATAGAATCGATTTTCCCTAGTTGTAACTGCTCAATGTCATCACTTGAAATAGAAAAATTATTTCAGTGTTTCTGAATCCTTTGAGTTATGGCTTGATTGAATGTGGTAGAACCTTTGGAGATGCATGCTGTAACTTGCTTGGCAAGACCTGTTGAAGACAGTTTTCGTATCTATCACAAATTAAATTAGACCATAAGATTCGCTTAAGCAGTTTTCTCATAGATTTTTCTGTAGTTCTTTTTTATTAAAGTTTTCACTGAATTATTTCATATACAACACCCTATAGTATATTAAACTAGAAAACAATCAGAATAATGGTTAAAATAACCTTAAGATCTGATACAGCACCAATATACTTTGGGTATACCTATGTTAATTTAATAGTTAGAAGGCTGATGACTCAGGTTAGATATCATAAGGCTTTCAGGAGGAGTCATGATAAGAGCCTTAACTATCATAAAGCATGAAAATTTTGACCATAGTACATCTCATGGGATTGTCACACCCAGAGATTTGTAGACCTTTGTGTTCCCAATGGTGTGATTCCTTGTGATCTCTGTTAATCACACAAACAGGTTATCCTGTGCAGAGCACTATCTGGAATCTTCCAGAGCTCTAAAGATGCATTTTGTCAGAAGCCCTACCTACCCTCTACCTTTCACATTCTCCTAAACCTCAGTTCCTTTTTATCTGTTGCTGCAACACCAAATAATCCTCTGAAGTTTCTTTTTATTCAGCTTCATTTTTCTGAAACTTCAGTTGTTCCTCCTGGAAGTTCTATCTTCAGTTTGTCTTGATGGTTATTTAGACTCTTTAATTAATCTACAGTTTTGCTAGTTCCTCATATCTTCAGATTGGATTTGCTCTTGGATCATTCATTGCCTCATCTGTTACCTTCATAAGCTTTCTTTGTGAGACTTTCTTCTGACCTTGACACTCCTGTAGAATCTGAGACTCATCATATGAGTGATCACACTCGTATCCATGTCATAGCAAGGGTTCATTGGTTCTCATCTGCACTCTTGACTTCAAGCAACTGTACAATAGGTGCCCTGCTCTTCTGAAGGCTAACCTTTGTTGCGTGAATGACGATGATATTTGTCAGAGATGCCATTCAAACTTAGGGGCAGATCACTGAACTAGGGTGGTGGCAGCTTTGATTTCATTCTGATATGTCATATGTAGAGCTGCTATTTGATTGTGACCACTAATGTTCGTATTTGGCAAAATTTGGACAATAGGGCCCCATTAGATTCTACAAGGGGAGGTATGACTGCTTCCTTCTATGGTTGGTAGCTTTCTAGTCACCCATTTATGTGATTCCCAGAAGTCATGAAGAAGTAGGATAGGTTACTTGCTTGTAGCTGTGTTTCTTCAAGTGGTCATCTGTGAAATCACACAACCCTACAGATCCTTTCCTTTCCATGTCCTAACTTTCTTTAGATCCTTGATTGTTGCTTGGGTAGCTGTGGAACTTTGGCTTAGGAGGGAATAGTGAGGGTGTGGCACCCAGAGGGTTGGCAGGACTTCTGCCAAAATCTAGCTTTACAGCTTTAGAAGATTTTGTATGGTACTCTGCAGATGCTCAGGGTAATGCATTTATGTGATTTTTCAGATGACCGTTTAACGTATTTGTTGATTTTATTGTATGTATTTTTGTGGCAATTATTGCCTTATGTAAAGCCACTCCTTTCAGGGTGAGAAGGACAGGGTATAAATGTGGTAAATAAAAGAAAGAAAGAAAGACAGACAGACAGACAGACAGAAAGACTATTAAACTTGTCCTTATAACCTGTGCAATCAATTTTCCTGTTTTTAATTCTTTATCTCTTAATTTTACTTTGGATGTTTTATTAAATTGCTTGTTTTTGTGTTTTGTATTTTATCAAACTTTAATATAATGAAAAGTATACTATTTGAAATGTAAGTAAATTAACAAGCAATTCCAAGGGGGAAAATGTGCTAGTGATGTGCTTGTGTAAACATTTCTTGAGAAGAACTCCAATAGAAGTAGACACAAAAGAGTCACATGCCATTGCTTGCTTTAGGCTTGAATCTTATGTAGTTTGAAATTGCCTCAAGGTTTATCAGGTAGTTTGCAACTTTTTGGTGTGAGGAATACTTGGAGAAAGCATTGTGACATGACTATCTTGTGGTTAGTCCTTTTGGTGTTGCTGAAAGACAATTCTCTGAAGCAATAGAAGGTTGTTTAGGCAAGCAGAGAAGATGATCTGGTTTAATGTGCACTTATAGAAAAATGAGAAGTTAGTTAAGTTGGGGGGCCGTTAATGCCAGATTTGCCAAAATTTTCTATATTTGTTTTGCATTTTTTATTCCTTGGGTTTCCTTTAAATTGAGTGGTCTGCTCTGGTATGTTGGTAGGCAAGTGAGAAATAGGTTGTATTTATGAACCTCTTTCTGCAACAAAAGTAATGAGGCAGTAATTAGTCAAAATGATAAATTAAGAGTTCTTGTGTTGTGTTTGAGAGTAAGGTGCAAAACACTAACAGATGGTAATACTCCCAGCTCCTTCAAGGTCAATCCAGTCACTTCAAGGATGCCATCCATCCATCTTGTCCTTGGTCAGCCCCTCTTCCTTTTTCCTTCCACTTTCCCCAGCATAATTGTCTTCTCTAAGCTTTCCTGTCTCCTCATGATGTGGCCAAAGTATTTCAATTTTGTCTCTAATATCCTTCCCTCCAATGACCAGTTGGGCTTTATTTCCTGAAGTATGGACTGGTTGGATCTTCTCACTGTCCAAGGCACTCTCAGAACTTTGATCCAGCACCACAGTTCAAAAGCATCTATCTTCCTTCGCTCAGCCTTCCCTGTGGTCCAGCTCTCACATCCATAGGTTACTATGGGGAATACCATTGCTTTAACTATGCGGATCTTGGTTGCCAGTGTGATGTCTCTACTTTTCACTATCATATCGAGATTGGACATTGCTCTCCTCCCAAGAAGTAAGCGTCTCCTGATTTCCTGGCTACAGTCTGCATCTGCAGTAATCTTTGCTCCTAGAAATACAAAGTCTGTCACTGCCTCTACATTTCCCCCGTCAATTTCCCAGTTGTCAATCATTCTTGTTGCCGTAATCTTTGTTTTTTTATGTTTAACTGCAACCCAGTTTTTGCGCTTTCTTCTTTCACCTTGATTAGAAGGCTCCCCAGCTCCTCCTCGCTTTTGGCCATCAAAGTGGTATCATCTGCATATCTAAAGTTGTTAATGTTTCTTCCAGAAATTTTTACCCCAGCCTTGCATTTGTCAAGCCCTGCACATCGCATGATGTATTCTGCATACAAGTTGAATAGGTTGGATGAGAGTATACAACCCTGCCGTACGCCTTTCCCTATCTTGAACCAGTCTGTTCTTCCATGGTCAGTTCTGACTGTTGCTACTTGGTCCTTATACAGATTCCTCAGGAGAGAGACAAATTGTTGTAGCACTTCAAAATTATACATGTTGTAAAGAAATTACAAAACAAGATATTTTAGTTCATATCATTCATATCCCGCTCATTTCTTCAATTTAAGCATGATCACTTTAATTTAAGTCATTTTATTCAAATAAAGCCAATCAATATTATATGATTTTTCTTATGGATTCTATTTCTTGTCCCAATGCATGGCTTTTGTGTATGTGTGTATGTATACACACACACACACACACATATATAAACACAAAAGTCTGTCATAAATCACAGTGACATGCAAAATCAGTAAGGACTGTGAGCAAGAATCCACTGTAGAATTCCAAGAAAAATTGTTCCTAAACAAGAAACTGTCAAATTAACTCAAATTTATTGAGGAATTGAGAAAAATGAGAAAGGACTTTTATCAGCTTTATATGAAACAGATACATAACCCTTTGGAAAAAGTTGAACCATCAATTAGTGAAACTCAAACTTGTGATTCAGAATCGGGCAAAAATTTCAGAGAAAGGAAAGGACACGCAAGAGGAAGTTTTAGACATACCAGTGCCAGATTTCAAGGAGAGAGATAATTTTATGGAAACTCGAGGTCTTCCAGAACTGCAAGAGAATGTCACTTACATTAAAATGACTATAGTCCTGGCTTATTTCTTAGAAGTTCCAATTAAAAGTTTCAGCTGGGAGGCTGATAAAATCTGGATTCCTATATGACCAAACAAACAAAAAAGCCTGCACAGAGATAACTTCGTAACATTGCTGATTTATAATTTTACACCAACTGAGCATGTTGATAATTAGATACAGGAATAGGATCTAGAGATACATGGGGAAAAATAAGGTGAAAAGAAGACGAGGGACTATAAAATAGCTTATGAAGATTTGTGAATGTGCAAAAATGGACAAATTGACTTACTTTACTTACTTAGGCAATCCCTCGTTGACCGAATAAGATTGTCTTCCAAGTTCCAAGTTCGGTGGGTACGTAAGTGACTGTGGAGTCCTATTCTTGACCTGCATGTTCTCCTGCAGTGAGGGCATCGGTTTCCAGGTGGAAGGCAGTCCTGGTCTAGGTTGGCTTGATGTGTCTTCCTCTTGGCACATTTCTCTCTTTCACCCTCCATTCATGCCTCTTCAAATTCTACAGGACTGCTGGTGACAGCTGACCTCCAGCTAGAGCGTTCAAGGGCCAGGGCTTCCCAGTACTCTGCGTCTATGCCGCAGTTTTTAAGGTTGGCTTTGAGCCCATCTTTAAATCTCTTTTGCTGTCCACCAACATTCCGTTTTCCATTCTTGAGTTCAGAGTACAGCAACTGCTTTGGGAGATGGTGATCAGGCATTCAGACAATGTGGCCGGTCCAGCGGAGTTGATGGCAGAGGATCGTCGTCCCAATGCTGCTGGTCTTTGCTTCTTCCAGCACGCTGACATTTGTCCGCCTATCTTCCCAGGAGACTTGCAGGATTTTTCGGAGGCAACGCTGATGTGGGTGATTAGAATCATAGAGCTGGAAGAGACCACATGGGCCATCTAATACAACTCCCTGCCATGTAGGAAAAACACAGTCTAATGTTCAGGTGGAATCTCCTTTCCTGTAATTTGAACCTTGAATGATTATGACAAACCCATAGCTCTGAATCCTAGTTTCTAGGGCAGTAGAAAACAAGCCTGCTTCCTCTTCTTTATGACATCCTTTCACATCTTTATACATGGCCATCACATCTCCTCTCAGCCTTCTCTTCTGCAGGCTAAACACACCCAGTTCTTTAAGACTCTTCTTGGTCTCCAGACCTTTGATCATATTAGTTGCCCTCCTCTGGACACCTTCCATCTTGTCAATATCTCTTATGAACGGAGGTGCCCACAATTGGACACAGTATTCCAGGTGAGGTCTAACCAAAGCCAAATAGAGAGGCACAATGACTTATCTCGATCTAGACACTATACTCCTTTTGATGCAGCTCAAAATCCCATTGTTTTTTTTAGCTTCTACATCACATTGTTGACTCATGTTCAGCTTGTTGTCCACAAAGACTCCCAAGATCTTTTTCACATGGACTGTTGTCAAGCCAGGCGTCCCCCATCCTGTACCTTTGCATTTCAATTTTTCTGCCTAAATGTATCATTTTATATTTATTGTTGAAATTCATGTTGTTAGTTTTGACCCAGCTCTCTAATCCATTCAGGTCATTTTGAATTCTAATCCTGTCTTCTGAAATATTAGCTCTTCCTCCCAATTTGGGAAGGGGGGAGTAGCATAGTTGAGGCCTCCACCGGCACAGGGAAGGCCTGGCCCAGCCTGACCTATGCACCCCTCCGCCTCCTCCTGGCCTTGCCTTCCCCTGCCAGGCCTCAGGAGTGTGGAAGTCAGCTAACAAGAAAGTAATCGAGAGAAGGAAGGAGCATCAGGGTTCACTAGGCAGGGAGGCAGATCCACAGTGGTAGGAACTTAGAACTGAGAGCGGCCCTCCCTCTGCAGGCTGTAGGAGACAAAGGTGGTGGCATTTGCCACAGGGAAGTGAGTCCTAGCGATATGACGCTGTGGCAACAGCTAAGAAAGAGAAGTTAGGTGGTGGCAGTGGGACTCTACAGGTCACATGTTTCCTAGACAGGGAGAGTGTGGGGCCCCCTGCGGAGCCCTGACTATGGTTTGTGGAGCACAGGTGCCGGTGTAATAAGTAAAATATAAAAGTGTGATTTTGTAAAAAAATACATAATCTTAAAATTGGTTTGCACATTTTATTCTTGTGCAACCACACTTTTTGTTTTTCAGAATAAAAATTATTATTTTTAAAGGTACCTTCTAGAAATGACTGTTCAAATACTCTTCTCTCTTTCAGAATCGGGAGCTTCAAATTATGAGAAAGCTTGACCATTGCAACATTGTCAGATTGCGTTATTTCTTTTACTCCAGTGGAGAGAAGGTGAGTTTGCAAAGACATGCAGGAAATCGATTATATCAGATCAGCCTCCTGCTGGTACCTTTTAGTGAAGAAGCAGTAGCAAGGAGCAGGAATGATTTGAAGGAAGAATTTACAAATAGGAGAAAGATACAAGATTCAGTATTTGGCTGGGGAGCTTAGTTTAGCTGGCATCATTGGGGAGGGGTGCGCATTTGAGCTAATGTACTATAAGGCTGTCCTGTGGGCATAGAAAATTAATCCTCATGTTTTCAAAGAAGAACCAAGCTGAAAAGCATTATGTTGTGGAACATGAACCTCTCTGCTATATTGAGGTTTTTCACATAAGCATGATGTCCCAAATAGTTTGTTCACTACATTTTGTCTCTCCTTTTCTTGCAAGGTGTCACTTCTCCTTTCTTTTAGTAGTTTATGTCAAGATGTAACTGTATATATTTTTAAATAGGATATTCTAAAGGTAGAATGAAAAATTTTATAGGGTACAATATGATGGTTCAAAATATCTGGCTTCTTCTCTATTTGAAAATAATATAGTGTGTTATGGCATTTACAAGCATCAATTTGTGTCCTAGTGCATTGCTTTCTTGAGAGCAGACAAATTCCTGTTTTACTTTATGCATATTGCGATCTTACTTTAAAACCATCAATTTTCCTAAATACCAACCTTTAGTTCCTTATTAATTTTTGTTTCCTTGTTCCCTTCTTTTTCTAGAAAGATGAGGTATATCTTAATTTGGTTCTGGACTATGTTCCTGAAACAGTGTACAGAGTTGCTAGGCATTATAGTCGAGCCAAGCAAACACTCCCCATGATATTTGTGAAGGTAAGTGAAATAAATTGTGAAGTTTTACTTGGTTGTTTGGTTGTTTCTTTAGAGATGGGACAGGATCGCCGATCCTCTGTGTAAATGAACACATATGTTTTTCATTTATGCACTACAGAAGGGTACTGGATATTTTCTTCTAATTGCAGTATCACATGCAATGGTGGTTCTTGAGGTGATAATGCAATGTTCCTGAAAGAGGGGGAAAGACCGCTTTGGAAAGTACCTATCTTCACACTGTTATGAATCCCATTGATAAAACAAATTCCATGTTTTTCTAAATGAAGACTTATTCATACACTTAGTCTACAGAGGTATTTAAGGATACTGCAGATGTTATATTTCTAAAGACGGTAAAACATGATGAATTGTGAGAATTGTGTATGCTTATTTTTGCAATATGCAGTGAGTTTCTGCTATATACAGCTACCCAAAAAAACAAAACTGATGGCTTTTGAAATACCATGGATGTATTGATCCCCCCCCCCCAAACCCCCTAGAAATTACAGTAGTTGGCTTCATCCTAACCAAACCGACTTCATCCAGGACACACATTTGTCCTAACAAGCTACATATTCTTCTTTCGCAAGTAAAAACATCAGTCACACCAATATTTTTTTTAATCATCCAGTATTGTTCTTAAAATAGTATGAAGAGTTGTCAGGCTTTGTAGATGGACCAAGAATCACTCCCCAAAACAATCACCAAAATATGGTGATTGTTTTGAATCCTTCTGTGAGTATGTGTTGATGGCAGTAGTGCTGCTTATAGTCTTCTGTTTCAGACAGGCATTTACTGAGGAGTCAGACTAAATGAGCCAAATGGCTACTGGGCAGCAGCAGTAGCAGTGGAGCATCTTTCAGAGATGGTGGCAGTGTCATCATGTGTTGTCAAAGGCTTTCATGGTCAGAATCACTGGATTGCTGTGAGTTTTCTGGGGTGTATGACCATGTTCCAGAAGCGTTCTCTCCTAACATTTTGCCCACATCTGTGGTAGGCATCCTCAGAGGTTGTGAGGTATATTTGGAAACTAGGCAAGGGAGGTTTATGTATCTGGAATGTCCAGGGTAGGAGAAAGAACTCTTGTCTGTTGGAGGCAAGTGTGAATGTTGGAACACCTCCCAACAAAGGTTTCCCCCAGGCAAGAATCAGCCAGGCCTTGAAACTTCAAGGCTTTGCAATACTAATCAAGGTGGTTAATTGCAACACTCACACTAGCCTCCAAAAGACAAGAGTTCTTTCTCCCACCCTGGACCTTCCACAGATATATAAACCGCCCTTGGTTATTTTCCAATATACCTCACAACCTCTGATGATGCCTGCCATAGATTTGGAAGAAATGTCAGGAGAGAACGCTTTTGGAACATGGCCATACAACCCAAAAAACTTAAAGCAACCCAGTGTCATCATAGTGCTGTGTGGCATCATAGTGCTATGCAGAAGGAGGCATTGTGAATTCCTTTTGAATATCTTTTACCATGAAAATCCTGGGAGACAATTAAAAAATAAACCAGAGCTCAGATGGCATCCAACAGTCTGCTGGGATTACGGCAGAAGAGAAGTAGTGCTGTAGCTAATGACACAACTAGACTTAAGCTGAAAGGATGTTCAGTGGGTGTTGTGCTCAGAGGTGAAAAGTCCAAAGCTGTGAAATGTGAAACACATGAACCAGGGAAAGCTAGGCATAGTAAAAAAAAGAAATGGATCATGTAAATATTATAATACTGAATGAGTGAATTAAAGTGAGCAGGAGTTAATATTTTAAATTTGATAATTATACAGTTGTATTTAAAAATAGAATATATTAAGAAGAACTGGGTGGCATAAATAGTGAGGGGATATCTAGCAAAGGCTATCCAAGAATATAAAGTCTGATTAACTCATATCAGTAAGAGCCAGGGGAAACTTATCAGTACAGTCACCATCCAAGTTGAAAGGTCCAGTTACAGAGACAAATAAAGAAGAAATACAAAGGTTTTAAGTTGGAATTCAGGAGGAATTTCACGACACACCAAAACAGGATTCCAGTTAATGTCAAAGTAGGAAACAAGAATGTCAAAGTAGGAAACAAGAACAGAATCCAAGTTTGTAGCAAAAAATTGTCTAGGATTAAGACATGAAAACAGGAGAGTGACTAATTGAATTTTATGAGGCTAGCAGTTTGTTCATTGCAAACACCTTCCCTATCAATAGACTTCATAAACAGAAGATGAAGCTCCATTTTCTGTGCAGAAACAAAACTAGGTCCAGATTGCAGAATAGATCGTGAACTGCTGGTGTAAAACAATGGAATAAAGAAGACCACAACCTGTAAAAATGCCACAAATAAATTGAAATCTTACAGTAAATTCCAAAGTTTAAAAATACAATTTCATTGTAAGGACATTATGCCCTTGTTTAGATATCTTTAAATCCCTTTACTATCTGCCCCCTCTTTCTCCCCCGTAAGACTACTCCTAAACACAGTTAACATAAGACATAGGATAGACCTAAGAGGCTCCGCCATAGAAAAGGTTGGTAACCATTGTTCTAAGAACAGTTTGCTAGAATCTTGTAGACTATAGATTTTTTTTCCTTTGGCTGTAGGCAAGTTGACCCAGTTTTTTGGATTGATTTTTTTCACTAAAATGTCTAGTCTTATTCATGAATCTGTTGGGTGAGTCTACTTCTTCAGATGCATGGAGTGAAGTGCTTAGGAACAGACCTTTGTAGCCATGAACAGGTGGTATGAATAGCACTAAAATGCAAAAAATGTGGGTATGGTGATTAGGTGATAAGTTCGGTTTTAACAATGAACGTTGGGGGAACAAAGACAGGAGGAAAGATATTGACCAAAGCAGAGGTGAATAGATAACCTTATGAATGTGAGAGGTGTCCTGCAACTAGTTTCTGTGTATTCCTATTCCAAACGCCTGTTTATGTCAATTTATTCTCTGCCCTATTTGCCCAAATCTAGAATACTGAAGGGCATCATTCACAGAGGATGCCATATATCACTTCAGAGGATATCTTTAATATTGTGGGCGATATGATTAGGTGCCGTGATGACATTTTTTTGAGTAAATTTTTGGGCAGAGCAGACATCTGGGTTTGTGACAAAGTTTCATATCTTGTCTCCCCTTCCATGTTAGGTGTCCTCCCATACAAAGCGGTCTGTAGATAAGACCTACCACCAAGAGTCCTTATGAGGGCAGCACTGTTTTCCAAGATAGATTGGGAGCTTTATGTAACCACTAGTGGGGTTCTGCCATTTCTTATCCTTAGCCTGTTCTTTTATAGAGTAGTACTGGGTATTGTCTTGTTAATTTGATTTCTATTGTCTTTTGTTTTTATTTCATATGATGGACACTGTAGTTTGATGAATGCTTGTTGTAATTCTGACATCTCTCTTTGGTGAGCGAAAGGTGAAAGTGGCTTTCAGTGCATTTGGGATTTGAGACATGAATTATTTCATCATTCCAAGAACATTCCAGCTAAATACTGAAATCATTCTGCTCATTGTAATAATTGATTCACCTCCACAGACTTGTTAAGCATGTACGATCAGATTTGGGAATTATGGCATCTGGTTTTATTAAATGATATAATGAAGTTGATGGTCAAGTTGATGTGCCATGGTTTGATTGGAAAGTAAAAGACCCAAAGATCTGATGAAATAAAATTTTGGTATTTGGAGAAAGAAAACCATGTAACAGATATTGTGGAAATACATTGTGCAATGAGCCCTGGACACCATTATTATGACAGCTGTAATCACAGAGTAAAAATATCATAGACTTTCTTGACTGACTTACACAAATAATTCCTGAAATAGTAGTATAATTGTTTTTGCTCTAATCTTTAAGAGATTTCTAAAACTACATACAGGTTGAGTGTGCATTATCCAGATTGCATTGTATTTGAGAACACAAAAATGCTGGACCACTCTCACAACCACCATGTCAGACTACACAGAGAAGCCATTGAAATCCACAAACGTGGACAATTTCAACAGAAAGGAAGAAACCATGAAAATGAACAAAATCTGGCTACCAGTATTAAAAAATTCTAAAATTAAAACAGCAGAGAGAAAAACAGGCAGGGACATCTGATCACCTTTCAGGAAGAGTTTGCTCCAGGCACAGTCAGCCCATTGTATGCTAATCAAGGTGGTCAGTTGAAAAGATTCACACCTAGCCCAACTTACAAAAGCCTTTTGTCTCACCCTGGTCTTTCCACAGATATATAAACCCCTTTTTTCCCAGCTCCAGCAGACCTCACCTCTGAGGAAGCTTGCCATAGATGCAGGCGAAACGTCAGGAGAAATGCCTCTAGAACATGGCCATATAGCCCGAAAAAACCCACAAGAACTGAGTGATTCCGGCCATGAAAGCCTTCGACAATACATTATCCAGATTGCTTGAATTTTTTTTGCATTTTTCAATCCCCATATTAATGAGATATCTTGAAGATGGACTTAAACCTAAATATGAAATGTGTTTGTTTCATATAAACCTAAGTCCCTACGGGGAGATAGGGATGGATATAAATAAAATTATTATTAATAATAATAACAATAATACAACATTTTCATAATTTTGTGCATGAATTATATCAGACCATGAAATGTGGACAATTTTGGAGTATTTTGGATGTTAGAATTTTGGATAAGGAATGCTCAGCCAGTATGAAGGACGAAATGGTTCACTGTGGGAAATAATAAGCCTTGCAATCTTTGGCAAAATTGAGGACCAATCTAAAAAAGAGTTTTCTAAGGTGAAAATTGAGGTTGAGGATTAACAAACAAAGCAGATAACAACTTATGAGGAACATACATATGCTATCTTGGAACATTGTTGAAGATGACAACAAGCTGGGACATCATTAAGGACTATTTAAAGTTCTGTTGTGTTATTTTTTTCCGAAAAACTTGGTTGTTGGATAAGAGATTTCTTAATGCACAGGGTTTTTAAATGTGGTAACAGCCTTCATTTTGAACAATTTTGAGTTAGGCAAAGGTTGTTTGGCAGGAAAGAAAGTAAAATTTCTATCTACCTAAAGTTTTCTAGGAAGTGCCATATAATGAAAAACCTGAAGATTTGATCAGTATCGTTAACACACACCATTTGCAGATATTCAGGGCACTTCTAATGAGTGTTCTCTGAACTATTTGATTTTAATACTAAGCTTTGTTACTCAGATTTCCCATTTGTTAACAGATGTTTGGTTTAATGCCAGATTAGTAAACAATTAATGCATTCCTGAATGAAACAACAGTATATTTTCTCAAGGAAGATAGACTTTGCTTGGACATTCTTTTCTTGGAAAGAGAGTATCCGTGGTTTGTTTTAATGAATCTCAGTGGATTCTTTCTTGGGTTTTGGCAAAAAAGGATCTAGGGCCCTTTCTTTCTGTCTTAGTTTGGATGATAGACTAAATGTGTTCATATTACATTTAAACTGGAACTTCAGTTTCTCATCAACAGCAGTTTTAGGTTCTAGGATGATTAGAATATAATATGGGGATGCCTTGAATCATGACTTTCTTCTTACTGGAGGATTCAAGGAGATGAACACTTGTGGAAGAGGGGTATGGTTTACCAGCAAATAGTTGATTCTATGAGTCTTCACTTGATAGCTTTATCCACAAGAAACTGGAGCAGGTATTATGTGGTTACTCTTTGATAAAGATGCGGAATAGGTGTCCTGAGTGCTTCCATTTTTAGATTCTGCCCTTTGGCCTTTCTTTTGCTTCAGTGGTCACAAAAAGACACATTCATTTTTACAGCCAGTTGAACTTTAAGAAGTAGCGTTTTCTTCCTTTTCCCATTCATCTCTAACATACCAGGTCATGGTTACAATTTGCTTTTTAGGCTCTCTAGGTTTGTCTGATAGACAGCTATCCACTTACCATTTATTGAAGTGGTGTTCAGTCCTACTCGTTCTGCTTTTCTTCTGAATGACACAGTTGATAGAGATTACTGAAGTTTAAGAAACCATTGTACATCCATCCTGAATGTTATGCTCTGTAAGGTTCATTGCAATCTGTCACAAAGGACTGAAATTTACACAGCATAGTTTCTACTTCCCTCCATGCCAAATCCACCTTTTAATATGTATCTCTTGCCATCAGTTTTTAAATAATTCACCTCAGTTGTTACTCTTGCCTCCTATTTGCAGTTTCATATTTGCCCTTCACTCATAAAGAATATTGCCAGGAATAATCATAGGCCTATAATTATATTTCATCCAGCAAATTATTTGTGTATGTGCTTTCAAGTTGTCTGTCAATTTATGATGATTTTATGGATCTCCTTGGGTTTTCTTAGGCTAGGAATAGTCAGAAATGTTTTCATCAGTTCCTTCCTCTGAAATGTAGCCTACAGCACCTGGTATTTGTTGGCGGTCTCCACCTAAGTACTAATGAGAACTGACCTTGCTTTGCTTCTAAGATCAAATGGGATATAGTGCCATTATAGACTCAGACTATAAAGATTTTCATTGGTTGGCAACAGTAGTACTTTCCGGCCTTTCTTACGTGTGCATGCCATAAGGTTATCCGAGATCCTTCTGTAAACGCTTCATATGGATACTATGTGGGGGATTATTTGTGACCCAAAGTATGGATTACTGTCTTTATAGAAGTACAGTTGGTGCTGACTTAGTTGACTTTCCTGTAAATGATTTGCTTATTAATGACTTCGGTTTTCATTATTTATTTTGAAGTTGTGTTTTAAAATTGCCATTTTCTGTGCTGCCATATTTACCCTCTTCACTTAAAAAAGTATTATTTATTTAAACAGTTTATTTATGTTCTTAGCAATATAGCTATTATGTTTGTTCTTGTTGTGTATGACTTGCTGAGACATTGACTCTAAGGTTACTCATAATGGGAATAAATAGTATTAATGTGAAGATGATCTGTGGTATGGAAAATAACTCCTGCAAGAAAATGGTTAGAGGAGCTAAGTATGTTTCTTCTGAAGAAAACTTAAGGAACTTTTCAAATACTTGAAGAGAGGGCAAAATACTTGTAGAGGGCAAAATACTTGTCACAGAGGCCAGATTGTAATAGTAGATGTTACAGGAAAGCAGCTATTAGACATGTGTTGATTAAACATTTTGTTGATAAAAGTAGTTTGACAGTAGGATTCAATGCTAAGAACAGTAATCAGATTTCCCATGTTGAAAGATAATTGAGTAAATGCCTGATCAGTTATTTGTTTGTGATGCTCTGTTTCAAGATTGTCTGCATGGAGCAGGGGATTAGTGTAAAGCACTGCTTCTTAAACTGTGGGTCCCAACACTGCATGGAGTTCCCTTAGCTCAGTGTTGGGTACACAAAAAATTGAAACCAGCGTTTGCAAGGCTTGCTAAACAGGCTTATTTTTCTTTTTGTGGAGTACAGCTGAAGCATTATCTGCAAAGTCCACTATAAACACTTCATGTTGTTGCTCGGATATGTGTAAATGGTTGGCATTCAGAAACCATTCACTGTTACCATTAGCAATAACATGAAGTGTTTATAGTGGACTTTGCAGAGAATGCTTCAGCTGTACTCCACAAAAAGAAAATCAGCTTGTTTAGCAAGCCTTGCAAATGCTGGTTTCTTATCAGTAAACATTTGATATTATACCTATTTTATATACCTATCTACCTGAGGTAATGTAAAAATGTCTCAGGTGGAAAGGAATTGTGAATGGAAAAAGCTTAAGAAGCCCTGATCTAAATAGCATACAAAGTAGATGTTTATCATGTTTTTATTTTGCTGTGGTTGTTGCTATTTTGTTAACTGCTTTTAAAAATAAGCTATAGCATCAACATAGCTTCTGATTGTTGTTTTTAATCACATATATGCATTTTATTATTTATTATAGAAAAATTATTATGGCAGTTCTGCCTTTTGTCACAGTTTTGCAAGGAAAAGTATGCATCATCCACTGTATTCTTGTGTTTCAGTTGTACATGTATCAGCTGTTCCGAAGTTTAGCCTATATCCATTCCTTTGGAATATGCCATCGAGATATAAAACCACAGAATCTTTTACTGGATCCCGACACAGCTGTCTTAAAACTTTGTGACTTTGGAAGGTAAGCATATCTGGGGGGGAAAACCTGATAGTAAGGTTTGATTGGTCTGATCATTCTAACTTGCAGAATAGTAATGCTTCCATTTTCACAGGGCTATATTTGAAGCTGGCAAAATTAATAAACTGTCTTGTTGGTTTTTGTGCTTGAATCAACTAGTTGCAAGTACCATATATACTTCTGCCATATCAATTCAAGTATAAGTCAAGAAATCTTTGTGGGGGGATTCAACCTCAAATACTTCCGTCAACATTAATGAATCAATGTAACTTTGATGCGGAAATGGTGGTGGCAGCTCCTTTGCGCTTCCCTGATGCAACAGGGAGATTAGAAAGGGACAGTGCATCTTTTAGATTATTTCAGGCTGGAGTAAACTCTCATCTGGGTCAGTATTGGTAAAATCTGAAAGAAAGACTAATCCCTGCCATGGTGCTGATTTCTTGCTCCTTGAAAACCTGGGGGAACTCAACCCTAACCCTTCAGCCCTTCCGAGAGGCCTCTTATTGCAATGACTTGGTGGCCTTGCTGTTTTGCACCAACAACACCTTCTCCTTCTTAGCAGGCCAGGTTTTGGACAAAGTCATCTCCCTGCTTTCTGCCCTTCTGCCTTGCCTCCCTTCAACTTCCAGTTACACCTTCTTTGATACGCTTCCAAGATTCTTTCTTTGATTTAAGATAGTTACATCAGAAACTCCTTTAGGAAGCCTTGGTGTATCAGTCTGGATGTTGGCAGATTTCTCTCTATTTTGAGTTGCCTTCCTATCTCTGATAACTAAGACAGCTGGAAGAAGGATTGGGTAGGAGTAGAGTGACACAGAGAGATAGAGTAAATCCACCCTAAGTCTTTCCTATGTATTCCTCTGGGGAACTGTAATTGAGTGGAGCAGCCTCCCTATCCCCCTCATCCCCCCCTCCCCCAATTTTCTCACTAGGAGCAGAGACTGAAACTGTCCAAACATGCAGAAAAGCTTCAGCTCAAAATCTTCCCCAGAAATTCAGGCCTTCATTTGTTAGCATACAGCCTCCCTTGCCTGAAATGCTTGGAATCAGAAGTGTTTATTTAACAATCTTTCATATTTTGGAATGACAATAGTTGGATATACATAGTGAAAGAGGAAAAAAAGATGCTTTCCCATTTCCTCCATGCTATGGAGAGAGGAGATAGAAACATTTCTGTTCATGGTTAATATCACATTGTAGTTGTTCTTGGATGAGACCAATGATGGTGTGTTGAAATAATAATTTGTTAACAAGTCAAGTGTTTCAAACTAGGATCTTAGAATCCTTTCCTTTGTTGTATTTGTTTCTTACAGTTGACTGATATGTTGTGAATCTTCATTATAGATTTATAGGCATTCCATATAGTTGAGTATCACATGTTCTCTGTAATTTTTAATCAAAATTAATTTGTTCATTTTAAGTTTAAAAGCCAAATGTGACCCAAGGCATGTTGAGTGATGCATAATTAAAATAATAAAACTTGCCATCATCTATTCTAGAAACCTACCATGTGTCAGAAAGACTTATTAATAATTGTTAAGTGTGAAGAAAATTGCAATAATATGGTTGGTAGCTTTCTAGTCACCCATTTGCGTGATTCACTGAGACCACAAAGAATAAGAACAGGTTGCTTACCTGAAACTACCGTATATACTCGGATATAAGCCAATTTTTCAGCCCTTTTTTAGGCTGAAAAATCCTCCCTTGGTTTATATCCGGGTTAAGCAGCAGCGGAGCCTGGAGGCAAGGCTCCGAAGCCAGCTGGCCATAGAGGAGGAGGACAAGCGGTGGAGGTGGCACAAAGGACCCCAGGTGAAGCTTCTATGCAGCTGTAGCCACTGTTCCTGCCAATCCTCCTCCCCTCCGGCTGGCCATGGAGGAGGTAGAGGAGAAATGGGGGAGGCAGCACAGGGGCCACTGCTGCAGTTCCTTCTCCTCTTACTCCTACTCCTACTCCAGTTGGCCATCGAGGAGGAAGAGGATGAGAAGGGACCACTCCTCTTCTTCCTTCTCTTCCTCCTCGATGGCCAGTTGGAGGAGGAGAATGAGGAAGAAGAGGAGAAACTGCAGCAGTCCCCCTTCTCCTTTTCTTCTTCCTCCTCCTGTTAGCCATGGAGGAGGAAGAAGAGGAGAAGGGACACTGTTGCCATTCCTCTAGCTGGCCATCAAGGCAAGCAAGCAGCTGCTGGATCACAGGAGGGGGAGTCCCCCTTCGTGCTTCCATTCCCTCCTATGATCCACCAGCTCCCTGGGGTCGCCTCCTCTCCCTCCCGTCCCCACCAATCAAGCAGCTGTCTGTGTGCTTCCATTCCCCTCCCTGCTTTCAGGTCTCCCTTCTGGGGAAGGGGAGAGGAGGAGGAGGAGGAGGCAACCCCGGACTTTTGTCACTTCTTGGCCGAGGCAGATAACACTTTCCTCCCTTCCCACCTGAGTCCCCCGCCCCACTTTTCTAGCACCCTTTCCCATCCCAGTATTCCCTTTTTCTAGTTTCCCCCTTCCTATCCCAGTGTTTACTACCCCCATTGCCCATCCCCTCTCCACTTTCCATCCCAGCCTTTCCCAGGTTCCAGTCTCTCTTTTCCATTTCAGTCTTGTCCCTTTTCCCACTGCAGTTTCCCACTTTCCAGTCCCCTTTTCTGTCCCAACCTTTCCCAGTTTCCAGGCATTCTTTCCCACCTCAATCTTTCCCCCTTCCCAGTTGCCCCCTTCCCACCCTATTCTGTCCTACTTTTCCAGCTACCCCCTTTCCACCTCATTTTCCCATTTTTTCAAACACCTCTTCCCATTCCAACTTTTTCCTGTTTCTAGTCCTTCTTTCCTACTCCCTTCCCAAGTCAGCCTTTCTCACTTTTTCTCATTCATATACACATAGGTATTTTCCCCAAAATGTATACTGTAGTTAAAATGAACTATGGCGATCATTGGATTATTATAGTTTTTATTGTTGTTGTTACATTTATTATTTTACTCTATTATTGTTGTTATTGTTATTACATTTATTATTTTACTTTATTGTTATTGTTACATTTATTACTTTACTCTATCATTGTTATTACATTTATTATTTTACCCTATTTGCTATTGAAAGGATACCTAAGCACATTTACGTTGAAGAAGGTTAGAATATTGGTTATTCAGAGTTGGACAGTCTTATCTTAAATTACAGTTTTATGTAAATATTCAAAAACATTTAACCTACTAATGCCTCTATTAATGTAGTTTTAATGGCATCTATTTTTATTTTTATTCTTGAAATTTACCAATAGCTGCTGCATTTCCCACCCTCAGCTTATACTCAAGTCAATAAGTTTCCCCAATTTTTCTGGTAAAATTAGGTGCCTCGGCTTATATTTGGGTTGGCTTATACGCGAGTATATATGGTGTAGTTCTTTTCGTTATCATCTATGAAGTCACAACTCTGCCCATCTTCCCCTCTTTGTGTCCTGCATCTCCTAGTTTCTTTTAGCTGCTCCTTTTAGAGTATCTGGAGATTTGGCAGGAGTTGTGCATATATAGGGCATGGGATTCAGTAAAGCTCTGGAAGAGGGGTATCCAACCTTTGGGCTTCCCTGGACCACACTGGAAGAAGAATTGCCTTGGGCTACATATACAATGCATTCATAGTAATGATAACTGATGAGGAAAAAAGAATGCTCAGTGCATAGTTGTGATACTTGTCACCACAACTTACTTACTTAGGTGATCCCTCATTGTCCGAGTAAGATTGTCTTCCAAGTACGGTGTCCTGGAGGTGGGTACGTAGGCTTCTCTGGAGCCCTATTTTTGATGTGCATGTTCTCCTGCAGTGAGGGCATTGGTTTCTAGGTGGAAGGCAGTCCCAGCCCTTCCCTTCCTCTTGGCACATTTCTCTCTTTCACCCTCCATTCATGCCTCTTCAAATTATACAGCACTGCTGGTCACAGCTGACCTCCAGCTAGAGCGCTCGAGGGCCAAGACTTTCCAGTTCTCGGTGTCTATGCCACAGTTTTTGGTGATGACAAAGTTGTGTTCTGCACATTTGGTTGCTGTTTCCAACCCTGTCTTTTCCTATGGTCCCTGGCCAAAGGTCGAAGTCTCAGCTGACTCTTGCATTAAAGTCCCCCAGGAGGATGATTGTGTCCTCCTCAGGTATCTCTGATAGAACGGTGTCCAGCTGACAGTAATTTTTTTCCTTGATGTCTTCATCAGTGTTGGTGCATAGGCACTTATGATGGTTGCCTGTTGGTTTTTGGCAAGGTTAATTTGGATGGTTGAGAGTCGTTCGTTAATGCTAATGGGTGCTTCGGTCAGTTGTTTCACCAGACCATTTCTGATTGCAAAGCCATCTCCGTGCATTCTTCATTCTTCTTCAGGCAGTCCCTTCCAGAAGAAGGTGTAGCCTTCTTTTTCTTCCTTCCTGTCCCTCTCCTGCTCTCTGGGTCTCCTGAAGTGCTTCTATGTCAATGTTAAAGCGTCACAGCTCCCTTGTAATGATAGCAATTCTGCATTCGGAGCATTCATTGTCAGTGTTGTCCATCAATGTCCATACGTTCCATGTTCCAAAGTTCATTTTTCTTTTTTGGCCGCAGGGTGGTGATCTCACTGGACGTGGCAGTCCAGTCAGGGATAAGAGAGGCAGACTATGTTTAGGGCACCTTTTCTAGCCCCTTCCCTGTATGGGGTGAGCAGAGTGGATCCTTAAAAGGGCTGCTATGGGACTTTTTGTTGCGTTTGTTTTTATTTTTCTTGGAAGACACCTGTGCGTGAGTTTTTTTTTTAATGCGTGGAGGTCAGTGCACAGCCAGTAAACACACAGTCTTCACAGAGTGAGGTCCCATCCAGTGGCATGAAGCTTTGGTGGCAGTGACCACAGAGCACAGAGACACATTCTAGCTGGTAGATGACTCATTGAATCAAGAGGAGAATGGGAAATAACCCACAACGGCTGAGGAACCTTGCTACCGATGCTGTGACCATGGAAACTAAGTGGTCGGGTACAAATAGTGTGGGGAGTCCCACGGGAT